TTAAAAAAAAAAAAAAAAAAAAAAAGATATGCCCCTTCGCTGCTTACTGATTGTAACCATGGGAGGTGAGGAGGCCCCCCACCACCCAGCAGCAGACGGAGTGGGGGGGGGGAAGAGAGAAGAAGGAAGAGGGGGAGGAGGAAGGGCAGGAAGAGGAGGTGGGTGAAGGAACAATGGGCATCATTCTCCACACAACACAATGGAAGTAGCCAATTGGACATCAGAGTCCTTTTGTAAGCACAGAAACACTGGTTGCTTATTGACTATGCTATGCTTAGTGAATATTAGAATGAACAAACAAAAAGACAGCGTGAGAGAAGAATCAGCACACACCCCTTGCTCAGTACCTCCTTACTCTTTTGAAGTATGTACCCCCTTTTTTTTTCTTTTTTTTCTTTTTTCACTTCCTCACCCCATTGATATTTCAAATCAATTGCTCCCATTCCTTCCCAAGCAGGTACGGAAAAATGGACAGCGATCTGTCTAATCTGGGTTGGAGATGTCTTCTTCATTTTCCATCATCTTTTCAGCCCTAAGCTTCCGATTGCTCGGAGATGCGTACGTACTGCCAGAAAAGACCAGCAGCACATGGGGGCTGAGCCTACAACTAGAAATTCCAACACGTGCCTACTTCCCCTCGACGAACTTATCCCACAATACAAAGAGAAGTCCACCATAGGTCTTGAAGAAAGGCGCAAACACGAGCGATTCGACAGCCATGAGCTTGATAAGAATGTTGAGGGACGGTCCAGATGTGTCCTTGAGAGGATCACCCACAGTGTCGCCAATGACAGCTGCTTTGTGGCAGTCCGACCCCTTGGGACCAAGCGACCTCGCGTGATCGTTGCCACCGGCCTCGATGTACTTCTTTGCATTGTCCCTATTTACAGGATACGACCACAGCAACTGAAAGTCAGGAAAAAGAAAAGAAAAGAAAAGGGAACGGAAATAGGAGTCCCGTTTCCAGCATGCCACCACAGCAACTCAAACACAGAAACGAAAATAGGAGTATAATTCCCTCAAAAAAAAAAAAAAAAAAAAAAGGAGTAGAGACTACTATAGAGGAGTATAATTAAAAAAAAGGGATAACTGCTCCTGGGTCACACTTAAGTTCAAAACGACCAAAAAAACACTTAATGGTAACATCCTCGTCGTCCAAGTTCAAAACGGCAAAAAAAAACACTTAATGGCAACATCCTCGTCGTCCAAGTTCAAA